GGGCGCTCTTCCATTAGAGGGGAGAGGGGGAGGGACGGACGTGTGCAGGGTGAATAACGGTCGAGGAATTCCTCGACCATGGCTCTGTACTGTGAGAGTAGTGCCGAGAGTGAACGTACGCGCGGAGAGCACAGACGGCTAGCGCATGGCGAGTGTGAATGTTCGCGAGAGGCGAAAAATCCTCGAGGAGCCGTTGAAGAATCCTTGACCAATATTTACTCTGGTTGTGAGACATTCCTTTAGAGTCCCCAACACCTTTGAAACCACGACATTTCCCCGAGCTCCTTTCCAGCCCTAGGCTCTGGAGGTGAAGGAACATCTTGGAAAACTCTTCGCACCATCCAGGACAGGAAATCGTGCAACATACAAAAAACTCGAATGACGTAGGAATGAGGCCGTTAGCAGATCGTAGCTTTAAACGATTCCTTGAACACACTTGGCATAGATGCTGCCCACATGAACAGCTACCCTTCCTCACTGGAAAACCGCCAAGAAACATTATAGAAATTTCATATTTTCTCACCAAAAAGCGTCCGGGATACCTTTGTATACAACGTCGTTTGCTCCCTTCTTGATAGTCTGTATGCGTGTTTTCACCACTAAAAGTCATTCTTCAAGAGTCAACCTATCAATCAATATATCGAATAGAACTTCATTTGAACTCAGCGAATGGTTTTCTTGAAGAGTGAACGACAATACAAATTTGTGAAAAGACAACTTTCTTGGTTAATCATGCACGATCAGGGTTGCTTCGACGGTAGAGAGGTAGATTGCTCTATGATGCGACTTATATTAATTTATTTATTGAGACAACATTTATAAACTAACATTTATTAACATTCTTATACCACAGCTTCCTGAAAGCAATTATTGACATTACATTACAACTTATACAATTTATTTCCTACATTAGTTAGCGTTATGGTTGGTTAGCCTTACTCTGAATTCGTATTGGGTTATTCAATATTGATTTGTGCCTTAGGGTATTGGTCGATAGTGGCTGGAGGTGTGAGTTGGTGGTCCTTGGTTAGTGATATTGATTGGTGGCCTTGGCCGGTGGATGATCCACTGGCTGTACCTTATTGATTGCCTTGTGCTTATTGATTATTTGGTTTGTTGCTGGCGTTGCCGCCTTAGGTTTTGGTGCGACCGGAGTCGCTTGTTTGGAGACCGGTGAAGACCGCGAAGACTGGCCCGGAGTCTCCGACTGCGGTATTTATACCCACAGAAATGGGTGGTATTTATACCCGGGCCAGGGGGCGGACCGTTGGGGTGGCCGGCGGCAATTTGAACGCAGGTTTTGAGTTACTTAATCGATAGGATGACGTGTCAAGGATCCACCTTAAGATCTTCGTCGCATCATGACGAAACGTCATGACATGGGTCAACCCCCACTGTGCTAAGTTCCATCTTAACCTCCCTCCCCTCTCCTTTTTTAGGTGTCTAGAGTTGCGACCTCAGCTTCACTCAAATGTATATGAATGTATTTGGGTGTATTCTTCATGCATTTGGGCTGAATAAAAATTGGTTTCGCAAAATTCAGTCCGCATGACAGGACATTCGACACAATGTCGATGGTCCCTGCGTTTGCACCCTCCCCCCTTCCGAAGTGCTTACGAGTTACTTTAACTCTCTTCTATAGTCCTACCAAGAATGGCTAGAGCACAGACGATTAGAAAACGGCGCCTGGCTCGGATCTAGATCCCAGGGAGGAAGGTGGGACTCTGGGG